TTTTTATTGCTTTTGTATTTTCTCACACTTTTTTTTTTTATTTCTTCATACCTACAGCTATATTCTATTTTTTTTTTATTGCAAACATTTTAAATACTCTATTGTTAGTGAAAGAATAAATTGATAAATTTATTTTTAAATGAGAATATACTTGTGTTGTTTGAAATTATTATAATGAAAGAGTTTGTAAACGCATGAGAGAAACATCCATAGCGTGATTAACGATGGGTTAAGTTACACTTCAATTTGTACCTTTCAAATACTTGTCGATATTAAACTAACCACAAATCACACATTCATTCTATTTTTTGACATTTGTTCGAATTAAAGCTATTTAACCAGTAATTAAATTATTTAAAAACAATGTACATTTTTTCATTAAAAAAAATGAGAAATTTATTTGTTGAGTAATGTATTTTTATTGTTAAAAAAAAAAGTTTATTTACGTTCTACTGTAAATTTCAAATTAAAAATTATGAGCTGTATATTATCTATACTCATTAATCACTTTGAAAAAATTTGTTAAATACTTTTTTCATTAAAAAAAAAATTGTTTCCGAGAGTTTAAAAGTTCAGCAGTCAATTTTCACTTGACAAAGAGGGAGAAAGCTTTTAATAAAAATTATTACTTCCTTTATAATATATGAGAATAATTTTTATTTACAAAACTGTAATACTTAAAAAGAATAAATATATTTAAGTATATTTAATTTAACAATAACAAATAAAAAAGATATTATCTGGAAAAATATCTTCAAAGTGATATAGAGAAAATGCAACTAAAATATATATTGTTGTTTTGCCTGAGGCAAGCTACCTTTTCCTCAATCAAAAAATTATCATGGCAATTTGTGCCTTCATTAAAATCTACATAGAATTTATAATAAAATTTTGTAGCGACGTGATTTCGAATGGAAAAAAAATCATCCTGATCGTCCACTGAGTTAGAGATTTTACTGGTGGGGAGAAAAGGCGTATGAATAGTGAAAGAGAGTGATAGAGAGAAGGCCCAGGGGGGATCATAATCGAATATTCTCGAATTTAATTTCTATCGATGCACCCGGGGTATAGGTTCGACTTTCATATCATCCGAGCGTTTTTGTGACAGTCACCGAATCTAATTTGTCCGGACGCTACGTTCGATGGGATATTGCCCCCCTCCTCCTCCCTCACTACAACCCCTTCTTCCATATATACGAATTCGATATATGGGGTATCAATAGTTCATACTTTCAAAAACTCTTTACCTATATTTATCCAAAGCCTCTCAAATTATTTTTTATTTCTTACCTTTTGTTTCTTCACAAATCAAAATTTCCGTCATTTTACCAATTTAAATTAATTCATTATTTTACAAAGATAGATATTCTTCTAAGAATACTATCTGCTAGTGACAAATGGAATTTTTTTCTTAAATAAATAAAAATAATAAATATGAAATCATCAAGATAAATGATTGTTATATAATTGGACTCTGACTTTAGCTAAGAATAATTACATTTACACTTGAAATAATTGTTTATCAAGTGGAATAATTAAAAAAAATATTGATTAATAAATAATCCATCAGTTGAATTGAAATGAACAAAAAATTACATGAGAGATTATTACAAATTCAAATGAAATTTTATTAATTTATTTAAATAAATAAATGAAATAATTAAATTGAAAAATGAATAAAATTATTAGACACGAGTTGACTGAAATTTTAACAAAAATTTATCGCTGTGTAACTGCGTGAAAAAAATTCGTTTTTTTAATTAAAAACAATAAAAAGTGAACTCTGATAAAATTCACGTCAAATTGAATTTGACCTTACACTCTTGCGTATGTTATGTATCGCTCATCGGTAAAAAGTACAAGAGAGTTGATGGAATGAAAGTTTGAATTCGCATGATCTACAGAGAGAGGGAGAGATACACCGCGTGAGATAGTTACTGAACGTTCGCACAAGCTACAGATTACGATGGAAAGTATAAATCTCCTTCCGGTTGAATCAGGAACGAAGCAATCTGCGGAATGGCCTGGTCATCTGTCTGTCAAGTTCGAGTGTCGTGTACGAAATGTATATTCCTACGTAAAGCTTTACTTGGATGCATGTTATATCTATCCCGAGTGTTTCAATACAATATCGTAAGCAGACTGAATGCAATAGGAAACTTCCAAAAAAAAAAAAAAAACAAAACAAAATACTGCACCAAAGTCTGCACTAATGTCGCATCGTTTTGTATATTTATGTGAGTTTTGATGGAAAAAGTACCAAGACTCATAGATAATTTCTGATTTACGTGATATTTAACGTATCCTTCCCAACGTAATTCATACTGAGGAATAAATTATTTTATAAATCCCCATATTTATCTGTATCAGCCAGCAATACATCCCCTTTGTGACTGCTATTTTTGATACATAATTTTGACGAAAGACTTTCTACGTTGAGAAATAATTTAACTATAAACAAGTAATATTTTTATTAACATTTTGATAGATTCAATTCTCATCATAATCTTGAACCAAATATTAAAAGTCATTTTTCAAGCAAAATTTCGTTAAATTATTTTAATAAAACATCTAATCTATTTTTTATAAGTAGTATTTTTAAAAGAATGTTGTAAAGAATAATTTAAAAGTTATTACTCAAAATAACATGATGGAACGAAAATAGAAAATCGATTATAGTGAAAAAAAGAAATAGTTAGCATTTGAAGTTAACATTAATAATCATAATTTCGTTAATTGCGGCTTGCATTCTTGGTATTATGATATAGCCAAAAAAAGTATTCTGAGAAAAAGCAATTTTTTTAAGTATTTAAAATATATAGTATTACATGAGGTTGAACCAGTCTTGGTCAAAATAGATGGCAACTTTATGATGCTTGGACACACTAGTGACTAGTCTATAAATGTCTACCGACTAGACACAGGTCTATAATGAGAAGGACGAAAATGGGGCTTCTGATCATCAAAAATAAATGACCCTACTGAGCAAAGAACTATAAGGACTAAACACTAAGTCCGCTAAAGTATTAATTTTGTCCTCACACCCTTTCACCAACTACTCCCAAAAATTCTAATTATTTTTCTGTTTTATTATATATAAAAATCAAATAAATAATTTACTCCAAATACACTAGTATGTCCTTCATATTATTACTCATAAATTTATTTAAAAAAAAAACAAAATTTCTTTTTATTGACTTTCTTGTTGTTGACTATGATTTAAATAAATATAAATAATTTAATACGTTGTATATTCAATCTTTTATGAGTATATTTAAAATTAATGAAAAGAATTATTTAATTCAAAGTTTATAGAAACTTTGGAGTTTCATTTAGGAACATCAATCAATAAATAAGTATTATATACATGAAGATAAATGTTTAATAGCACTCATACTTAATATAAGTTTTGCTAGAATTTATGTAGAAATAAATTTTTTATTTTTAACCACATCTGTCTGTGTATGAGTAACGTATAATTATCTATATATTTTTTTCAATGACTAGTGAGTTTTATTGTAATAATTAATTATTTACAACATTATAAAAACATAAAATAATCATTATATAGTTTTGAAATTACGATAAATATATTTGATTACTATTATTATTATTATGAATTTATTTTAATTATAATCTTGTAAATTTCATTACTAGTATTGATACTAGTACGGTGACTGTCATCAACAGGAAAAAAATAATAATGATAACCACAAAACTATTTATATTATATAAACGAACGGTATTATTAATATACAATAAATCATCTTAATGAAGTTTATTACATAAATGTTTATAAAAAAAATAACTAACAAGAAAAGTTTTATAAAAAATTATTATTTTATCATAAAAGATAGTAATATAAGTAATAAATTCTTCAATTGTTTCAAATAAGTTTTATGAGCATAAAAGTAAAAAAGTAGAAATATATTTTGTGAATTCTTAGAAGCCAATTTGAAGAAAATATCGACAAAATGCAGACAGTAAAAATAAAAAAAAATAAAACAAAGAAATGATCGTTCTACAGCAACTGATAATGAGATAATAGCATATATACGTTAATTACTTGTAATCTTCTCTAAAACACTAACGAATATTTATTTATTCATTATTCTATTACTTCTCAATACAATTGATCATTCAACGATATACAGAACATTAGTATGTAATATTTAATGAATTTTGTGATAATTAATGAAACGTGCACTTATGAAGTAGGCTGTACGTTAAATAAATGGTATGATTGCGAATCTTGGATATGATGTACCTATCCATAAAATAAGAAACACAGAAAATTATTTAGTGAAATTCAAAAAGTAATTAACGTTGTTTTTTTTTTTTTATTATTAGAACGATCTTTTTCTTTATTTTCTCAAATGCTATTCAATTATCTTTATATGTTTTTATTATTATTCATTTGGGATTTCAATTAAAATCAAATTTACGTTTCTTCATCCACCTTGGATGTTTTTTCTATTATATCTTCCTCCGAATATGCATTATTATTGTAATTATAGCAACCAATTATTCGCAAGAAAAATTCAGTGTATAAGAAGAAATAAAAAACCTCAGAGAAACGATTCTGTTAATAATTTTTCTTTTTTACTATTTTTAATTAAAATTGTTTTTTAGATGTTCAACAAAATATACTTTTTATTACTGTTTATATAGATAAAAAAAATAAATGTTTCTACAATGAAGAAACTGCTCTTTCTCTTTTATGAGAATACGTTAAAATGTATTTAGTATGTATGTGTTTATCGTTTGTTTGTTTTCATTTTCAAATCGGAATAAATTTCTATGAATTTTTGGCGAAAGAATTTCGCGGAATCAGAAACTCCTGGAAATTAATTCTCAACGCAAAAACAATCGAATAACGAAAGGAAATAGTAAATAAACTCGAAAAAATTTTAAGAGTATTCTAACGTACAGGTGTTGATGTATGAAAACGAAATATCGATCACAATAAAATAAAAGGAGTATAAAATAATAAAACTTACCCTTTCCTCCTCTCGTATCATCTCAGCAATGCCCGGCTTAATTTCAAGATCATCCGTAACAATAGAAGATTGACTGCTTACAGATTGTTGATGCTGTTGAGCCTGTTGGTGGGCCTGTTGTGCCTGTTGCTGCGCAACAACAGCATGCTGCTGTTGAACCGACAGCTGAGCCACGTGGGCACCGAGGTGGTTGACGGACGGGTGGCCACTGGATGTCACGTGGACTGGCACGTGGTGGGGTACAGGATGAGAGCTTTGACTGACCGGCGGTGGCGGTGGTGGTGGTATTGCCAACGACACTGGAAGCTCTTGTAAATTTATCTGAGGTGTCACAGAAATGCTTGGCATATTAGGCGAGCCTAAAGAACGTGGTGTTGATGACGCCACGAGGTTTTGCACTTCACTCATTACAGCTGAACCATCTTGGTCCTCAGTCATACATGAATTATGATCAGGGCTGTTATTATCAACACTTGGTGATCGCTCACCCGAAGCTCTGCGACGCTTCTTCCGATGTACCGATGATCCAGTCGACGAAGAAGATGAGATTGCATCTTGCATTGGCTTTGATGTCAATTCATGTTCATTGTTTACATCCGCTAATCCACGTATTTTTAAACACTCAGCTACTTTTAATAATGGTCCAATTTGTTCTTGAGACACATTTATTTCACCCTTATACATAAATTCAACAGCTGCTTTTAGTTCTGGCCACTTGATGTCCTTCATTATAACAATAGGATGATGACATGGATTTTCAAAGAATAATGCTTGAAAATATGGACTACAAGCTGATAATACCATTTTGTGAGCTTTCACTGAATGACCATCACAGGCAAGTGTCACATCAACAAAACTCTCGCTTTGAAGAAGTTGATCGAAAACGTTGGTTAAATTTGTTTGATAATTATTCCAACGTAGGCAAAATTGCTGGGGTGAACCGGCACCACTTTGTTGCGTCATAATGATTAATTGTTTTCCAGGCTAGTGTCTTTTATTATCTTCACTGTCGACGTTTGTCACGAATCACATCAAATCAGGGATCATCTGTAAATATTAATACACTTTTACTGATGATCTTTAGATTATTATTTTCCCTTCAGCCGATTTGATTCATCTTTTTTAACTATAAAAATTTTCCTATTTATTTTTTGTTCGTTATAAAGTCATAAATATTACAAGATTCGATAAATTAATATATAACATTTTTTCTTTATTGCACACAGCAGTTCTTTCTTACATTATTACAATAATTACTAATATTTATACTTTGACGTTCAAGTATTTATTATTGACAATAATTTATCTCAATAATTAATAACCACCTCGGTATCATTTCAATCTTAATTTCAGTCTCATCCTCGTTTTTATTTTACTTAAACTCTATTACTTGCTATTTAATATTTGTTTACGTTTTCGTTCTCAACTAAACATCATCACGTTTTGTTTTCACTCCTGCATACCGTACGACTACTTTTAACGATTATTTTCACAGATTAGTTAATTAAACAGTTCGATCGAACAGCTGTAAAAGCTTATATACGAGAGCGACATGTATACAACGTATATCGCTTGAAGAGCGCGTCGCAACTGAAAGCGACCCACGCGCGTGGTTATTCGCGACAGCGTCGCACAGCTAGCGATTGTTGGGGTGGGGGTAAAATAGACGTGCGAGACGAAAAGAGCGCGCGCGCGTGTCTCAGCCCAATACAAGTATATGTATGAGCAATAGAGTAAGAGAGGGAATGAAAGAGTAAAGGTCTTAGCGGTGACTACTCGGCGGTACAAGGGCGCGCAGTTGAACATGAGCGACCGGCTGCCCACGCCAGTGTATATCCCCTTCTTCTTCATTTCATGACGTATAGATGCCACGTAAGCTCCGCCCACTAAAGACCGCCCCCAGCCGCCTCTCGACAACTCCAAACCCAGAGATCGCGATAGATTCATGTTTTATTTAATATGTAATTTATTTTTTACTTTAAAAATATGAATTATTGTTTTGCTTTTTTTTTTTTTTTTTAATATTTAAATTGCGCTCTTTACTTGCCGTTATTCATTTTTATTCAAGGCGTATATTACAATCAATAATTTCAAACTTTATAAAAATACTCCGAAAAATTTCTTCGTCTTTCAAAGATTATAAAGAATGTTGATTAGAAATTTGTTATTTAGTTATATTGATATTTAGTTATTTGAATATAAATTGGTGTGTTTTAATGTTTTATTCAACTTTAACGAATTGGAGTTATTTTAAAATTTTCGGAGTATTAAATATGTTGAGTAAATGGAGATTTTAATGCTTTTAAATATTTTTTTTTTTTTGTTTTGTTAAAATGAATTTTGAAATTAAACATTTGACTTTTATTTATAAAGTTGAAATAAACATGAGAACATTTAATCTTTTTTACGTTTATTGTTTTATGACGAGCAAGATGTGCTTAGAAAATAATCATTGTTAATTTATGATCTCAACTGTTATTTGTGAACAATCAATTGACTTTAAACCTATGCTTATTTATAGATAATTCATTATCGTAATCATTGAATCACAAATTGAATAAATAAAAAAAATTAGTAGTTTTAAAAAAACATTATTGCTATTTGACTTTTATTCATAAATCATTTGATTAATAAATATTGGAAACTAAAGTGATTTTTTAACCATTTGTATTCATTTATATAAAAAAAAAAAATTTCCATTTACGAAGGCATACTTCAATGTAATGACGTTAAATTTCGGTCAGAAGACAAAGATGTAGCTGCCATAATTAAATTTAAAGCACAAAGAGACGTATAGAGCCCTTCGTCCAAGTCAAGAGAGACTTAACAATTTACTATCGAAAATTTACTCTCCTTTCTATAAACTGACTATCAGACTATAGGTATATATAGACACATACGTATGTGTACTTTACAGAAACTTTCAACATCGTTATATTCAATCAGGAAGAATACAAGTTTTTAACATGCGCATGATTTTCATCAAGATCAAACGGTAAGTTTTGCAATAATAATAATACTATACTTATTGAACTACATACTGAATTACTTGTTTAATTCAACTACTATGTTTGGAATAAATCATTAATTTAACTTTTTTTTATAACTCACTGAATTATGACTCAGGGTTTTTTTCGCGATTTTTGTTGACCTCAAACACTGAACCTCAATAGTTTTTTTTGCTTTATTTTTTTATTAAGCATTTAAAGCTTCTGTGGAACTTCTTAATAACAGTAGTATCCAAATTATATCAAATAATATGTATATAAAATAAAAATGCATAGTTATTGGAAATTTTATTAATAATTATGAAGGTTATCATTGTAAATTCATAATAATAAAAATGTTTAATATTAATATACTTGAGGTATTTAATTTCTAAACACTTAAGTTTGTTTACGGGTTTTGGTAAAAGATTGGGTAAAAAACCTTTGATATTTTTAATATCTTGATATTTAATTAATAAATACCACAATGAAGAAGAATCATTGATCAATAAATTATAACAAAAATTAATTAACTATGAAGTCGTAAATTTAAATAAAGAATGATACAATACAAATATTCATGTGATATAAATAAATGAAAAATTTTCCCCTTTTCAATGATTCAAGTTAAAAATATTCATATATTGTTATATATTTTTTTAATCATAAAAATTATCTCTGATATCAGAATTTTTTCTCTTCATGCTTTCAGTAAGGGCGTTAGTATAGTGTTTGCAGTTAAACAATATTACGTAGTAAAATTTATGACTACCACCCTCCGCGATTCCATTACTATATGTATATATGTGTGTATATCCATATCTATACCTATAGTTATTCGCGTACACTCCCTCTATTGTACTGAGGGTTGCAAGGGCAAATACTAACAAAAAAAAAATATTAACGAACATTTCTGCGAGATATGAAAAATATTCGCGTTATATGGCTGAATCTTGGGAAACGGTTGCTTGTTTTTTGCACATTTATAGTCACAGATGGATTCCATGACTTCAGTAAAACTTTCCTTTGCTTGAATTTCATTTCAATATATCGGTATAAATGCGGATATATATATTGTTTCAACTTACTTCTTTCTTTATTATTCTTTCAAGTTTCAATGTCTTGTGGACTATCAAAGACAGTATGACAATGGCGATGAAAAGACGTTCGATTCAATTTTTCTGAAGAAAATATCGTGTAAATATACGAATAAATCCAACACAATGAGAAAAATAACCACTCAAATGAAACAATACATTTTTTTAGAAATTAATTTAGCATCACTCTATATTTTTTAATATTAAATAATTGATTTTATTAGTTGCTGTAATTTTAATTAATTTTAAATTGCAAGTTTTAATCAAAAAATTTATTAAATTATTTATTTATCTAAGAATATATTAAAATAAAGAGGAATTTAAAGTCTAAATGTTTATTTTCTCTCCACATGTTTTGATTTTAAGAATTGTGCAGATAATAACTTTTTATAGAGATATGAGCATCAAGAAAGTCTATTTAAGTAAGTATTGATTACTAAATTAATACAAGAGTCATTCTAGTCTCGAAAAAGGTGTGAATTTAAACTACTTGTCTTGACAAATTTACTCATATTTCCAAGTAATCTTAAAATTACATTATATTTAATCCCGATAACTCCTTTTACATCATCGCAAATGTATTTGCCAAATTTTTTACGAGGTAATAAAAAATAGTATAGAAACATTGAATTATCTTTCACCTTATCAAACATTTACTTTTTTTTAACAGAATCTTACGACAAATAATGTAATAGCTCTCATATTCATAATTAAAAATTTATTCCTCCTGTCACTGATGACATGAGTAATTCTAGCCAGATAATTTTATCTACCTACTAGTCATACTTATGCCATTTGTAAGTTCATCACAAATTTCAAAAATATCTTATGAGAACAAAGAAGGCCAAATTCTAATAAACGTCCATTTTTAATTATTTTTTGAATATTATTATAAGTAAGTCATCGAACTGAAGATCATCATGTCACAAATAATGTGTTATATATTTTTAATAAACTCTGTAGACCTTTAAGAAGACTAGAAGATTGCTATGAGAAGTTTCAATAATTTATTTAAAGTTAAATCTTTTAATGAATTAATTAAATTTAAATCAACTCTTTGAATTTATTAAAAATGTATGTACACACCTCATTAATGTGCTCAGATGAGCTGATGATGCTAAAAAATTATTTTAGCAATAAAAAGAAAATATTATATGTACTTAAATTTTACTGACGAGGAATTCACATAGTGGCAAATTGATGAATTTCATTTTGTTCTTCAAATAATCATACAATTGAATAAATGAGTTAAGTAATGTTAGAAATGGTGTTATAAAAGTAGATTGAATGGGGTTTTCAAACCAGACGTCGCGTCAAGTAGATAAATTTGTCAATGACTAGACATTTTTTATTATTTTTAGAATTTTGCTAAAAACGATGCTATCTAAATACAGCTTGCTATTAACGATTGTAGAGATAATAGCATTACATTATTTTTTAATCGAACAGTTATTCAAATAATAAACTAATTTTTTTATAAAAAGCTTAGCATACTTAATATTTAGTTTAGTTTCACCTTCAAACTCTTTAATTCTTTTAATGTTCCAATTGTTGTCTATAATTTTATCCTATTCTGGTCATCATCAATCTCATTGAAGATTTCAATGTCTTAGACTGATCTAAAGAACCTAATTTTAATCATCAATGCCATCATGAATTTTTTAACATTATTGGTATGGCATTGATACATTTTTGAAGTTCAAAATAAATTTTTTAAGATCTATTTTTAATCTTAACTTTGTTAAAACGGACGTAACAACAAGGTTGAAGTCGAAGAATAATTCGAATGTTAATTTTAAAGTCTCTCTTTTAAATATATTAAAATAGTAAATGAAATTTAACTAATTACAATAAGAGAATAAAATATGACATTTCATCAACACTTATTCTAATTAGAAGATTATCTATCCATCTAACACTAAAATGGGTTAACTTTATGGTAAATACAATTGAGCAGAATACTGAAATATATTTCAATATTTGTAAAGTGAACTGAAAAGGACATTGAGAGATGAATGGAGAAGATTGCGATATAAGGTAGTTATTAGTTAGGTTTCCAGTCTGAGGGTTGGAGACGCGGGTTAACGCTGGAAGGCTTGATAGAGGAGAAGAGGGTGATAGAGAACTGGTAGGCCATAGTGAACAATGATATCGGGTATTTGATTTGTAACCGACGACAATACGTATCCACTTTACAACAACTCTCTCCTGCTCTTGTACTCTTGTTCAACTGCTCTGTGCCGTGGGTCGTTTATGTACCACCCTGATGGCGACAGAGTATCTTTGTCGATATCAGCTAATGCGACGTGGAAGCGACGACAACCTTGCCTAGTACCCAGTCTCTTGACTCCTTACACTGTTACCTCAACAAACTCACCTTCCTACTCCAACTTACTCTCCCAATAACACTGCCGTATGTTCTCTTTCTCCCAACCAATATCTTGACTATACATACATGCTTGCTCTCTCTCTAATCTACGATTTGTAACTATTTTATCTCAACTTAAAAATAAATTCAGATACTTAAACATTTAACGAAGTCAAAAAAAATTATTTATTTTTAACAGTTCGCAAACTCTGATTTAATTCTAAGAAAAATAAATTTCAATGTTCTTTTCAATTTCTTTTTTATATAAAAATTTCATTAAGAATACAATTTTTTTTTTTTTGGAATGAACATCTAAATAAGCGTGAAAATATTAGTTTAACGAGCTGAAACAAGAGCTAGATATTTTAGTCACTTTTTCACGTTCATGTAAATTTATATGGGTCAGAGACATGTACCTTCATGTCATGATTGATATTTAAGGTGTTACTTAATGCTCGAAAGGATGAACATTTACAGTGGATGGCTAAAACGAGGGTTGCGGTGACACAAGAGTAGGCATCTAGAGGCTAAAACAACAACCGCATGCTGTTAGATCAATTAAGACACTACTAGGGAATTCTGGGATAATGCTGATAGATTACGAATGAATTCTCTGATGGTTTGAATCACTCTCATATTTTCTTTTCACTTTATTCTCATTTCAAAATTATCATTTTTCCTCAAATAATATTAATTATTTTTTTTTTTTTTTCAACAGTGAAGCTTTTAAATAGACACAAAATCTTCAAATTACTTTTATTTTTCCCATTTCAGGATGCTCAAAAAAGCCTCATCGATTTATATCCACAGAATACACTAGAACATGCAATTTTAATTACAGTTAGTACAGCTTATTGGATTGAAACGCCATTATTCTCGTGTATAATTTCTTCATGAAATATTGACTAGTGGATAGTTTTTCTCTTCTATCGTTTTTCCTCCTTTTTGCACTTCTGTCTAATAATTCACCGATTATTAATTAATTATTAAAGATTACTTAGTACATCTCTAGTTATGATTTATCTCTACATTAGCTCGCGTATTCTAGTTATAGAGATCCATCCATATGATACAAAAGATGAGATTTAACATAAAAAAAAAAATGTAATTAATGATCAAGTTATAATTTAATTCTATCTGTGAAAATAATCATTCCTCATCAAAGCTTCTTTAAATAGCGTGCTCATAATTAGTAGATTTTTTTCTCAGGTTAATTTTTATACTTCAAATCAAAAATCAGCTGATAAAAATATTTTTTTGATCAACATAATTAATAATTGATTTTGTAAGTATAATCATGCATTACTGTTTACTACCCTTGAACTACCTTACTACTACCATGGAACTACTCATTTCATAAATCATTACTAAGTGGTCATGGTCTTATTGTTTCTCCTCCAAAAATAGGACCTGATTAAAATCCCTACTCATTCAGGAATTTATTTTTTTTAAGTTTCAACAAATATAAATAGGAAAATAGTATTTTAAATCTTAAATGATAATCAGAAGTTTGAATTGTATTTTCTTTTTATACTCAATGAAAATAGCTTACCTGAATACATACACTGAGCCATAGAGTAATACGTCGATTTTTTAAATGTCATGATTGCAACCCACCACGCCGCGTTCCTTGAGCCATTTATCGTTACCTAAGAATCTGCAACATAATAAAAACATTATTTTTAAAATATTATTATGTAAATTTACAATTTTTAATTATTAAAGTCTAAGGGAATATTTTTTTAATAATAAATAAATACTTAATATACTGATTATAAATATTATTTAGGTAGAAATGGTTATTTTCGTTCAGACATAGTTGATTAATAAGTAATATGTAATAAAAATATAGAATAATGAATAAGTAATAACTTATAGTTGATTCAAATATTATTTTTAATAAAAAAAAATGAAAATTTAATAACAGATGTTAAAATTTACAAGCGATAAGAGTAAAATAAACTTTTCGATAATGAGTTTCTCAAGTGAATTCTCTCGATAGGGGTTGCAAAATGATAGAGCGAGGGATGTAACTCTCATTCTTGTTACCGTTATTACTAGTTTTACCTTAAACTCGACGATTGTATAGCTATATATAGTAGGAGGTAATAAAATACAGAGAAATAACATTCAATTTGTGGCAAGATAATAAGAAAATATTATTGTTAACTTATCATAAATTTTAAAATAAGAAATAAATTAAAAATAAATTCTGATTGTAATAATAATGCAATATTAAACTTTCAGCCATCAACTTTTATCATTATTTTCTTTTTTTATACAATTCATTTTTAATTTAAAGAAAAATCTTTCTAGAAACATTATTCTATAAAATAAACAATAAAAAACTGTATCAACAACAGTGAGTTTTAATTATGTAAAAAAATTAATCAAGTAATGTAAAAATAGAAGAAGAACAGAAGAGATTTAATTGATGAATGCAGAAGTCTATAAAGTGAAAGAAGACAAAAAAGTAAAAGAATGACGATTGTGGAGGGTGTAAAGAAGATAGTTAGGAAAAAAGAGCATCTGGATGACCGCGTAACAATCCTATCTCATTGGATGAATCTCAAGCTCGTAACGAAGCGGCAAATCGAAACTAAACGGAGTGGCTCTGTGAATGGAAAATCAGAGTATAACGTTTCGACGATGCCTCGGTGTGGTTTCCGGTCTCGTATTTTTTTTTTTTCTTTCACCTGTAAATATAAATACTTAACAACATATTTACATTGCTGTATTTTTTATATCCAAATTCATATCAATCAACTTAATTAATAATAATAATTAAAATATAAATCTATCATACCTCAATGTTGTAATAAAAGTGTGGGTTTTTTTTTTTAATTTAAAAATACTTTGTCTATGATGAATAAATAACTAAAGTTCAAATGTAAATATCACCTCTGCTGATGTTATAATGCAGAAGTAATGCAATCACGATGTCTAAATATTTTTCAATACAATAATGAGAAAAATAATATTTATAATATTCTCGCAAATCATTAGAAATTAGCATCACTCTCATCTTCCATATAAAATCACAAGCATTATACGTCATCAAAACTCTAGGAATTTAAATGTTAAAATTAACCACAACTTCCATATCTGTTGCAATCGACATTCTACAAAGGTCTTATTCTTATTCAAATTATCTCCAACTATTCAGCAGAAATTACGTCGACTTGAAACCATAGACATTTAAGGAATAAAATAAATTTTAATATTCTCATTAAAAATAACAAAAAAAAATACCGTTGATCCCTAAATGCTCGTTTTATATGCCTAAAAGTATTAATTCTAATTTACTGCACGATGTATCTGCATTATCTGTAATTATTTGCAACATTAATGCAGTGATACTACACGCATGAATATTCATAATTATTATATACTAATACAATATAATATATTATATATTAATATTAAATATAATTATGGCATAAATTTTCTACTGTGGTCATTGGTGTAGATGATTTACTTCGTGCACTTGCATAAGTATTTTATCGCATTATTTCAAATATTGCACAAGAAAGAATTCTTTCGTAACATGTTTGATTCAAATTAATGTTAATCAAGTTTTTTTTTCTCATTCTTTTTTTTTTTTTTAAATAAATAGATTTTACTATTTAAAAACTACTAAGTTATTATGCACATTTTTAAATTCGAAATCGTTACGTGTGATTTAAAAATATTTCAATATTTTAATGACAAGGAAATCGAATCAATATTCTGTACAGTTAAGTTAATTAAGTACTTTAAAAAAAAAAAAAGTGCATAATTTTTTCATAAAGAATTTTTAACGCAAAAAATTATTTTAAATAAAAATATCGTATTATTTAAATGTATTTTCCTTAATTAAATGAAATAATTTTCTTTTCGTATTATTCATGAATATTTATGTTCGTAAAAATAAAATAAAATCAGCGGAGAATTTTTTCTTTCGATTTAATATTTAAAATAATTTAAATATCATGTTTAATTTTAATAAAAAAAATGTTCAAATGACTGAAATGATTTATTCATAGCGTAGCAAAAGATAAAATATTCTCATGAATGTACAACTAAAAATGGAGATATACTTCCTTCATAACTTATGATTATACATAATAATTTAAAGTTATTGAAATACGTATTATATAATTATTTCGATGAAATAGCCGCACTACAAATCAATACGTATAATAGACGTCTATCCACTACAGTGAACGGCAATAATCCCAACTCATTTACTTAATTGTATTCTCTGCATCAAGCAGTACAGAGAGTCGTCAAGCGCTAGTGCATGAATGTATTAGAACCAACTCAGTCTTAAACTTCCTCGATGATAGTTTTGAACTCACTTCCTAAGTACATTTACAGCTTCGATCGTATATGGAACACATTGTGAATATATATCCGATGTTATCTTATGAACATATCGATTTCGTACCCAGATACATTAGAAATAGGCTAGAGTTACGATTACTGGACCAGCGATTTTACTCGATTATCCACAAACATTCAACTAACAGATGATTAAGATTTTTATAGTACAGTGTCAGATCAGATAATTTCTATTATAAAATTTTTTCATGCCAAAATTGAGCAGACAAAAATATTCACATATTTAGTTAAATTGTGTTCCAAAATCCTGAGTTGAAATATATGTAGATACTTGCTGAAGTCTTTTTGGATCTTTTTTACCACTTTTGAAGTCTGTTTTAATACTTCAAATCTTTTCTTTCGGCTATAATCCTATTTTAATCCTCAATATTATTTCTCTGGTATTTTTTGAGAACTAATGTGTACTTAGAGTCATGGATTTTTTAAAAACAGTCATGTCAAAAATTGTTATCAAGATTAAAGTCCCTGACAAGTACTTTACAGTGGGAAGTTTAAAGTATTTAAAAAATACCTGATATTATTAATATTGAAATATATTTGTGATGTATAAAAAAATAATTTTTCAATTTAATCACTTCATTAATTTCTTATTTGTTTAAATATACCTGTATTGATATTAAAAAAAAAAGAGTAAGTCAAAATTGAACTAGTTTAATGATACTAATTTTTTTTTATTCCTCTGGCAAACGAGTTATGAAAAAATAATGTCACACAATTTTTTAGACGGATTTACGAATTTATTTATCACATTTCATAAAACGTAAATTACAAAAATGCAACATCCAGTAATATCTGATTAAATAATAAAAATAGAGAGGAACGAACAACAAAATGTCGACCGCAATTATGTTGTAATTAACTTGGATACACATGAGAGAGGAAAGCATATCTACGAACCACAGCGTTGGGTGCACAGGTGGTTGGGGATTTTTGTATTTAGCGGTTAGCACGGTCAGAACTACCGATGCATCCCCTATTGTTTCAACATGCAGTAGTTCGACGTTTACACGTTTACACGCACCACGTGGCTGCATTATGTATGTTTGTGGTGACAGAAGAGAATTCAAACCAATCTACTCATTTTCTATCTTCTTTTTCATTTCATGTATTCTCTTATATTAAATGTATATATCGTAATACCTTTACACCTCATGATATGCAAACCACCACTTGTCACTGATGTTTTACATTTTTTTTTTTTATAAAAATATGAATGTCCATTATAATTTGAATTCCAATTAAATACGTATACAGTCAATTTATTCCTATACGTATACAGTCAAGATATCAATAGACTATTAAATTTTGTTCAATCATCCAATGGAATGTTCTAGGTAAACAACTGTAACAGTCAAATTTTGCGCGAAAATTCAATGAATTTATGCTGATTAGAATTATTTGCATATATTCATAATTGGTTAAGATATTTAATTATTTAAAAGAATCCTTTTTTTGCCTTCTTTCCAATATTCTATCAGTATCGAATATTAAACTTCATACAATAGAGTCATCATATGTATCAATGATTTGTGTCTACTTTGGAGACAGCAACTGGATGCTCTCATTGAAGGATTACCTTAAAACTGAATGATCCAGAATGACCAAATCATCATAGTATTTCACTACTTTATGGTCAGACATTCAAAGTAGAGTAGAATCTTGCTTACTAACAAGTCTAGGTAGAGCTTGGTATGGAATTATCATCAATCGTCATTGAAAGAATAATCATAGAGGTGAATAATGACAGTGCATTAAATTATTAGTTATCTGCTAATTATGTTGAGATAATTATAATTTTTAAACTAGGATCTCTAGCAAAATATCTAGGACTAATTAATGTAGACCTAGAAGATATTAAAACTGATTTGACAACAAAACCTTCTTCCATGTACATAAGAAAATCTAAGGATCAACATTACCCAATGAATACTCCATCAACATGACCTAAATTAATTCCATCACGTAAACTTTGACAAACTTTGCTTAGAAGACTTAAAATCAATGCGCAACTTATTCCAAAGCTATGATGTTACTCACCATGAAGCAAAATCACCCAAAATGATTAGAAAATAGTGCTTCAAGTTGGATAGAAAAATAAAATAGATGGAAGGCTAATTATGTCTGAATTCCGCAGAATTTCCTAGGACATACAAATGATATATATTGAGCTATACGTAAATATGCATAACATAATGAGAGTGTAGGTTTGCAAATTAGCACATATTATCAATCGAAAATAAGGACAAAGGCAAGGTGAATATGGAATTGATTCATTGTCGATCGTAAGCCAAAACGAAATCGACTATAGGCAATATACGTCAAATCAAAATGCACAATCCCGACAAATTATTTCGAATATTTCATAATGAGCGCGAAATATCATTAGCTCTGGTGGCTGCAGGATGTATTGAGACCCCTTAGGGGTTGGGAGCACTACTAGATAAAATGGAGGGTGAGTAGATACACGTCACGACGCATCGACGAACAAGCAAGAGTGGGGAACACTAGGACCAGAGAGATGAACTGGATGTTGAATTACGTTGAAGATAACGAGTTTAGTGGCGAAATCACGTTGCGAGCGATCCGTATAACTCCAATAAAATGTATCAATAATTTCATCTGATCGCTGAGGATTTATCAATAGTCGAGATACACGTACTGAGAATTCACTTCATATTCGTATCAATAGGAAACAAATATCCAAACTAATATAAATATGCATTAATAAATCTATCGTGTAATTTAATTACAAGAATTTTGTAAAATATACCTATAATTATTGTCTAATTTTTCAACTGTTCAAGTACTTACAGTATGTGATTAAACAACTAACTCGATTAACTTTTTACAGTTGATACGAAGAAGAGTCAGTCCGTAACAGATAATATAATAAAGGTGAATTAGACATTTTTCACTTTTCAACCAGTTATTGTATAAATTGCTGCCTCAATGCAAAAATAATGAAATATATAGGATGTATGAAAGCATTTTTTTTTTCCCTATAAGTCTCTAACTGGTGTAATTTCATTTTTAGGAATATATCTGCATGTTGATAGCAATCAAAAATGTAAAAAAATAATAAATATATTAAAATGCTATTATTTTTTTATTTTTTTCATCTATAATCTAGTTTGACAAAAATCAATGTACTTTCATAGGTATCCTATCAGATAGATTTGCCCCGAAAAAAAATTCTCAACTAATAATATTTTTACGAGTTCATCAGAAACTTGTAAAGATAATATTATTAATATTATATTGACATTAAATTAATGTAAAATAATATATTTAACTGGTTCCTCAAGTAAAAGTATCAATATCTGTAATAAAAATATTTATATTCCCAAAGGAATGATTATTTTATATTAAACAATAGAATTTATTCTATAGTATGGTATAAGACTATAAATTTTTCTCTGTGGATGAATAAATTTTCAAAGAGGTTTCTAAAAGGGTGTAAAACGAGTAATATTTCAATAGAATGACCTATTTAAATTAGAAGCAACGATATTTGAGTAGTTGAACTTGCAATCCTACGCTAAGTAGAGCACAAAAATATAAATCGGTTTTATAATCAACATCACATTAGTAATCCTTAGTGAGTTCTCAAGTGGTCACTTTACATGCTCTTAAAATTGATCTCTCCTTGCAGTTCCCAGCACTTAAATATTGGCAATAGGATGCCAATACATCGGCAAATATCCATCCAAACTACAAGAATAGGAGGGATAGAATGAGAAAGACATAGAAGGAAGAAGGAAGGAGTATGTTTACATGTATGCAATAAACCTGCGTAGGAACACGCAATTATACAACATGAACTTGTACTCACACGAAGCTAACGCTGGCCTCTGCCTCCGGCCAGAGATATCGTTAGCATGCCTTGCTAATCACGGTCTCGATAATAGTACCGTGATTGATAGGAGGAATCTCTGCAACCCTCCACTTGGCAATACTTCATCCTCTCTCTTTCCCTCTGCTTCATTTTATCGACCTGCAGATACTGCACCCTTTTCCCTGTGAGTTCTATGTAGCGTAATATTTTACCCTCTGAACGTATATTATGCATTATTGCACCTTCGTGATTTTCAATCTCTCCTATTTTCCTTGCAATTTCATAACATTGTTCCTTTTTCTTTATATTTTTTTATCCTCAGCCTCCCTCTACACCCAACTTCTATTTTTGTTTGCTTGTAATTACATTTATTTAATTACCGTTTATGCGATTTTTTAAATTGACGAAGAAAAATATGTATACACAAGTTTGACGATTATATTTTTCAAGCTGGAAATGGAAATGGATGAGAGGAAAAAAAATTATGGACACTGTAATGAAAGAAATTTATATTTTTATGCTCGATGTAGTGCAATCGAATAAATAAACAATGGAAAAATATAATTTTGTTTTCATTGTTTTAATATTACCTCGTCATACATCATGGCTTAATAATAAAAAATAATTTAAGAATGTGATAAATTACTTGGAAAAAAATCATTTAACCGTTATCTTGTAAAAACGATACTGCGTTAATTAATTATAAATATTTAGCTTTTAAAGAATAAAAAATAATCATGTCAATCTCAGACCAAGCAAGCTACTGACAATTCCTAATTCATTCTCTTATCAATTAATAGACATTACTGATTGATACTTGAGTTTTCATACTCCAATAACTGACTAATTTGAAATTTAAAAGTATGAATAAAAGAGTGAAAATTGTAATTACTACAATACTAATTAAATGAATAACGTCATATTAAAACACTTCAAGTGCATTAAAATAAAACACTATTTGCAGTGTTGAAGTACAGATTTGTTTATACCTTGTAAAACTAATTATCATTTTGGTCGCTCCAACTTGGAGAAATAATTTTAATTGTTAAATACATTGGTTTATTTTGCTAGATCTAGATTACTAATAAATAAAACTGAATTTTTATAATATAATCTTCTTCCGGTATTTCTCATTAATCCATTTCTTATAATTATAAGCATTAATAATTATCGATTCACCTCAAGAAACGATGTCATGATAGTTATATTATTATGATAACGTCAAACACATGAGTTAGCTATACTCGATTTATTATTCGCGAAGATAAAACAATTCATTAGGTTTATGAGAATTTCGATCGATTGCTCCAACAAAATATGAAATACTTAATAAAATTATCTCTATTACTGTCAGAAAAGAAAGAAAAAAAAGAAAAAAAGTTGAAAGCAAAAAAAGGTTAAAGACTGCAGCTTAATTGTATTTTTATAGAATAAGGCTAACATGATAACACAACATTATCTGGGATTAAATAAAGAAAAAAAAAGATCCTCTTTATGTTATATATATATACTGATATCGTCACAAGTACGCGACAAAACAAATAATGTAGCAGAAGCAAATATCGTCAACCAATTGCGGAAGTCACCTCATTGTGGTATTCAATTATAACCAAGCACACGAAGACTAATATGTACTTCATTTAATATTTTATTTGAAAACTATCATTATGAATTGACAATCATTAACTTCATTGCTATCATTTTTACTTGAGTTATCATTTTCTATGTACAGTTATTCTCTAATATATATGTTTGGTAAGATTATATGTAGATTGATATAGGGGACAGGATAAATCGTTGTTTGTAAATTATATATTCATTTCTTTTTTATGTCTTTATTATTATTTTTTGTGATGTTTATTGTTAAATAACTATACTGCCTTCATATTTACTTGTCAGTTTTTTAGTATTAGGTGTTTAGAAGAAATTAACACTTGAAGAAATGTTATTAAATAAATTTCCTAATGAATAAGTTGATGTCTTTCATGAGATGATTATGAGAAAAAAAATTTTGTTAGAATTTTATTTTTCTGAAATAGAAATAAAAATTTATCATTGCTGTAGAGATGTGAAATTTTTGGCTACTTAAAATTTCAAAGAAATATAAAGCATTGAGCGAAAGGAAGGTATGTGCAAAAATCTTGAAAAATAAATGGCATTATTTGCTACTTCTACCGAAGAGTTATTTACTCAATTTTCAAGTATGATAATGTATACATACAATACAATACTCTGTAGATTGCGTAAAAAATGCATAATGTATTTTTAAATTTAGTATGTTTTAATATTTGAAACTAAGTTCAAAAATGATTAATAAATAATTTCATCTGTTTTCAACCGTTTTAAAAATTTAAAGTTAAAAAAATATATTTTTTTTCTTTCAAATATTAAACAATTCAAACATCACATAAATATTTTGCTTTACATAATTTATTTTTAATATTCAGAATTTTAAATCATTCAAAAGAAAAACGTTTGTTTCAGTACTTAGTTTCCTGGGCAGCAACAAACTGTATTTAAAAAAAAAAAAAAAAACATTGAGATAAATGAGACATAGTATATGACATTGATCATATAAAAATGCGATTGAAGAAAGTACAGCTGAACAAATCGAGGTTTCAGTAAATGAAAAAGGGGAGAGAACTCGTTTTGTTAATTAAGTGAGAGTATAGAACGTTTGTGCTCAGTGCGCTACGATCCATAAAAATGTCGAGAGTACTGAGTGACAGCCGGAAGCAGTGGAGATGGACAAGGCCAATTGTTTATATTACCACAGAAACTAACAATGGAAATATCCTAGGTCGAAGTACTATCACATAGTGGACAAGGTAAACTAATGCCACAACGTCGTCGTCTGTATCAACTCTTTCCAGGAATTCAACCATACCGTTTGATATGGTAATTCCAACATTATTTTTTTATCTACGTCTCATACACTTATACCGCACTCCCTTGCACTCCGTTACACTTTTCGCTTTATTTACGCTCTCATGATTCTCAGCCACGCGTGTGCTTAAATCAGTATATTTGCTTGACGTAGGTGACTTTAATACAGGTGAATCACCCGACAGAGACTATACCCTATTCCACTATTATCGTGTAAATATCATTTATTAACAATTAGGCTAGGTTTCATTTGGACATATAGAGGGAGCCCTCTAAATTCTCAGTGTACCATTCATGAGTAAAGCTATTCCAGTCAATAGATAAAATTGATATTTCACATCGTTCAATTTACCGGTACGGTCAATGTGTAACTAGGAACTAATGTCTGTTTAATCCAATTCATTATTTTTAATATCACTGTATTTCTGAAGAGAAAGACCATGCGGATTAAAACATTCGTCTTTACACTGTGAGTCTAGATAACTTTGTTCAAATGAATGTATTAAATGGTCATAAAATACTATCTATATACCACTTTGTCAACCATCTAGAGAAATCAAGCTGTCGGTCATGATATACTATGAATTGTTTTTTTTTTTATAAAAACTATTCAGCTTTACAGTAAAATGTATTATGATTTGAACAAAAATACAATTGATCTTATCTTAATCTCATCTTATCTTCAGTGTTTACAATGCTAAATGCTATAAGCAAACTATCGTAATTTTGTAAATTAATTTTAAACGCTTTTTGCCGTTTACCAGAATGCTATAGTTTGTTCATAATGTTCAACATTGTCAACACTTAGGTGTTTTATTGTTAAGCACTTTGAACATTTTATTACTAAACATTTGAATTTTCCCGGATTTGCAATGTATGAATTATTATATTTGCTGATTAGCTAAACAATTGTTAATTGTTGTGAAATAATTAATAAGACTTTGAGTTCTTGGGGTCAAGAAAAGTTTAAAATAAATATTACTGTTTCTTTTTTTTTCACAAGATTCCACTAAAGTATTTTTATATGATGTAAAGGAACAAATAAATGGGATTAAAAAAAATTAATTACGACTTTGAAATCATTGATTATTTAGTGGATTAATTTTAGAAACTTTTCCAATAAATATTATCTAAAGTAGATGGAAACAGTAGTTACGGATCTGAACAGTTGTTATCTTAAGTGAGAATTTATTTGATTGAATGAACAATCCACAGGAGTAAAAATTTTATGAGTACGTCTACATTTTTACAATGCTAAAGAAAAAAAAAATAAAATGAAAGCAAAATATATTTTTAAATGCAATTAGTTTTTGGAGATTTTTTTGTCAAAATAAATTTGCAAGATAAAGGAAAAAGAGATGTGTGAAAACATGCCAGTAAAATCTCGTTAAAAACCTATGCAAAGCATAGAATCCACCTAGGAAGCAATGTCGACCATTATGTATTTATTAAGTTTACAAATTTATAGGTGCCTGCTTCTAGTTGCTGTTAGTACTCTCTCACGTCGCTCGAGTCTCTACATTACCACCGTCGCCGGCGCTGGTATTAAAATGAATTATTTAATATTAAACTTGGTAATTTTTAACCGTATTATATCACAAATTATTTAGTAGAAAATTCTCAGTATAGTTTCGTGCATACTACAACTGAATCGCTACTAACATACTATATATAGGAAATATTTTTCATCCATTCCTGAGAATTATTTTCATGGCTGTTTTTTGTTTTGTTAATAATATGCTTAATTAATAGACATATATTACCAGCTTATTCTTACTATGCCTTCAAAATTTATAACAAATTGACCATATTTTTAAAAAGCGATATAAAACATTAACTTTAATGGTTGCAAAGTTTTCTTTATGTAAATGAAATTTTTTTAAAAATCATTTAATATAATTATGTAACAGTAAATATGATCGATTATACTGAGATATATTTTCAATATAAATCATTATACTACATTAATAAGTTGGGTCAGAAAAATTGCAAGTAGAAATAAATAAATAATTGAGTTATTCGTAAAAAAGAAAAATATAAGAACAAAGTTTTTCCGAGGATGAAAGATGTATGATCGATTCCAATTTCGCGAGAGTAGGATTAGCAGTCATTAGTCGATTAGATTTTCACATCCACATATATCGATCATGTTTATATCATGAATCTTCGTGACATCTCTCACTTTTCGACTGTCACTACTGTGATCGATAACTCGTTTCGTACGTTAAACCCTCGCACTTGTCACATATATATCCGTAATATGTTCATCGTGAATACTGTAAGAAACGACACACAGAAACTACTATCGAGATTAATGGGTTGTAAGAGCATCGAACATTTAAATGCCTCAATTCATACAAGTGCGCATTTATCCCGAAAGATTTTTTAAAAAATCATACTAAATAAAAATTGATTAAATTATTATAAATCAAAGTTTGATTGTTATTTAGTTGAATAGATAATTCGTAAATTCTAAATGTAAAATTATTAAACAACAACGGAAATTACTTAGCATGTTTATATAATGACACTTTTCTAAATAATCATTGAACTTTCTCATGAGGTTATAGCCTTATTAGACGCACATAATCTATTAAAGTTGACAATTGAAATTATTGATCTACTTCATACCATTGCTTTTCATATTTGACTTTGTACATAATAGAATTATTTATATCATTGAACCTTAACACTATTTCGTTTATTTATCATGTTCTTGAAACTCTGTCAATATATTTAACTATCAGTTAATATTATACAGTCGCAAATATTTTTTTATATTATTCCTCTCCTTCAAATCATTCCAGTTATCTCCAACTAGTTTGAAAAAATATATTTTGATTGATGAAAAATATTTGGTAAAATTTGAAAAGATATTATTTGAAGAGTATGTAAGATGTCTAATATTTTTTAAATAACTCAGATGAAAAGAAAACATGCATGTAAAAAACTATGAACATGTAGTTCACCTATATGATGATAATATATGATCATGTGTTAAAATATATGCTACCACATAGCATTTTTTCCGTTTTCTTACATGATAATATATATGCTTAAACATACATGAAGTATGGATATAAAATATATGTTGATACGTAGATAATACATACATAATGTCGTGTCATTTTTAGCCAACATACATTTACACACATAAATATGTATGCTAACACATAAATTTTTGCATATATTTATTTTTAAGTTCAATATAGAGCCCACTTTCTAAAATTCATCTCTGTGCTTTGAAAATTAACTACCCCTCGTCTCCAACTTACTACTTGATAGCTCTGAAGCTGATCATTTTTTATCAAATCATTGCAATGTTTTTGTTGTATTCATTCAATCAATTGATAGCTCTAGAGCTTTTTAATAATTCAATAAGTCACAGATGAGTAATAAGTTACTCCAAAATTGTCTTTACATTTCATCAAGATCTACCATCATCTTCAATGCTCCTGGTCTACAAGTTGCCTAATTGTCAACAAATTGAAGTAAAAAAATCAATGGAGAGATTCAATTAATGATGAAAAATCATGGCATAATGAAGAATGCAATAACAATTGAAAGTTTCCAAATAAAAAACAATAAGCTCAGTCAAGATAAAATATTGATAAATCGTATATTCAATTACAACATCAAATAACATAGCAAGAAAATTTCTTAAATGGAAAATATGGGAATATTCAAAGGACAGAAAATAAGAAACAAAAAGAAACTCAATGTAATATGAAAACAAAAGAATAAGGCTGTACACACGTATGGAACGAAGCTTAGAGAACAAATAAAAAGTAAAAAAAAAAACACAAGAGGGGGACCACACACACATCGAGCGAACGTGACCGAGGCGGACCAAGTTTATACTGTAATGCAAAGTTATATCCAACTTGGAGTACAGTCATGACAACAACTGATTGTGATAACAATATTTCTATGACTCAATCAAGGATTGATAAAAAGTCTTATCATCATATTGGCCAGTTACCTTTGATGATGCAAATATAGCTAATCTATCAATGGCATTGTTTCAAGACTCAACTGACAAATGAACTTGAATTTGCAGAGTGTGTTGTTTATTGAATATGCACCGGGACTGTACGGAGATAAACGAATCACGTATTATTATAATGGCCAGTTGCTAAATGGTTTTTTCAATCCGTCCATATCGCTAGAGAGTGGCTGATTGGCCGGAGGTCTCATGCAAGACAGTGGGGTATTCACATCCCACTGCTAATATTTCATTACAACTGCCGTAATGAGAATAATAAGAAGGAATTTATCTGGGCAGTCAGTGTGGTTTCTTGGACGACCGCACATGCACATCTAATGCCTACCTTATATACTCTCATACCTCTTTCTCCAATTGAAAATTAATTTTATCCTTTCTCTTTCTTCATGATCACGCTTCAAAACTCATGACTAATAAGGGGTGGAATGACAATATGTGAACTCAAATATACCCCGAGTATTTGTAAAGCTTCTCTAGATGATTTTTTTCTTGTTTTATCTTCTTTTTTTTTTTTTATCAACTTTAGAAAGCTGCGATGGCTTTTTATAAAATTGACTTGATTTAAACTTTAAACACAATCCCCACTCTAGATCTTTCAACCACAGCACGATCTCCACAGCAACGTAAAAGCCACAGCCTATCATTATAGAGAAGAAATCATTGGATGATCTTAATCATGTAGACCGTTCCACTTGCCCACGCCTCCACCAATCGCTGCTCGCTTTTGTAATAATCATTCTTCTTTAATTTAGAATTTAACAATTTTCTGCACCATCTTCATGAGTGCATGTACCATATGTCCATGTGCATCGTAAATCAAAAGATGATGTGGTAGTTTGAATATTAGATTTATTTAGCAGACATTTTCTCAGCTTTCAGATCAACTTATTTCAATTGAATATCACTTTTGAATTATTTAGATTTGGGAAGACAATGTCATTTTGTTGAATGCATTTGTAAAATAATTGTAATTGTTATGTACAATTTATTTGAGAGTGTTATATGGTGTAAGGTACAAAACTTTTTCATCAATTTATCAGGAGTTTGTGGTACTGAAAATTTATCAAAAAGTTTTG